GACCATCACCTCGCCTGCAGTTCCTAGCCTCCCCCCCATCTCCGTCCCCCTCTCACCTCTCCCCAGGCCAGCTCCCCACTCCGCACCCCTGCACGCACTCTCCCCAGGCCAGCTCCCCACTCCGCACCCCTGCACGCACTCTCCCCAGGCCAGCTCCCCACTCCGCACCCCTGCACGCACTCTCCCCAGGCCAGCTCCCCACTCCGCACCCCTGCATGCACTCTCCGCCCAGCAGCCAGGGCCCGACCTGAAACACAGCCCACCAGAGCCTCTCTTGCTTCCACAGGACCCTGCCAGGCAGAGGGCCAGCCGCGCAGCTGTGGCGGAGAAAGCGCGTGGCCGGCACCTTCACTGGACTCCCCTCCCCCCGCAGGCCCTTAGAGGGGCCTCTAAACCAGGCCTCGGACTGGGCAGACAGTCCCAGTGCCGTGCGACAAGCAACACATCAGCCGGATTGTCACCTCCCTCGTCTGGCCCTTCTGTCTCGATGATTACACCCACGTGCAGGGGACAGAAATACCAGCAGGACATTCCCTGTGGTCTGGGCAGGCCTCCCCAGCAGTGCGCACAAGTGGATTTTCTTTTTAACTGAAAAGGCGAGAATTTGCCTTTATCCTTTTTTATTTCAAATGGTGGTTTGAGTCTCACAGCTCAGCACGAGGCGGAGCAGTCAGCGGAAGGCTCTCTCCCAGCTCTGCGTCACTAGCCGTTTAAACAGCGGGACTGACCCCGTCATCACCACGATGTGGAGCAGGACAGAGACCTTGGCCCCTGTCATAGGCCTTCTTCCGGGGAATAGAGAGTTTTTAAAATGCAGATCTCCCAGGACACCAGTGTCCCCTCGCTGCCTTCGACCACCGTCGGGTAAAGAGCACCCTCCTCGCACAGCTACGGAGCCCTGTGTGCCTAGCCCCTGCCGCCTCCCCAGCCCCATCTTGGACAGCTCTCCACCTGTAGGTCCAGTCACACCGACTTCCCTTTCTGCTCCTCAAACAAGTCTTACTCCCTTCTGCCCCAGGACCTTTGCATATACTGTCCCATCCATCTGAAATGCTTTTCCCTTCCCTCTTTGCTTAGTGGATTCTTATTTGTCTTTCAGATTATAGCTCAAAAGTTATCTCCTCTAGCCCGGCCGGTGTGGCTCAGTGGTTGAGCATCGACCTATGAACCAGGAGGTCACAGTTCGATTCCTGGTCAGGGCACATGCCCGGGTTTCGGGCTCGATCCCCAGTGTGGGATGTGCAGAAGGCAGCCAATCAATGTTTCTCTCTCCTCACCAATGTTTCTATCCCTCTCTCCCTTCCTCTCGACATCAATAATAAAAAAAAAATTTTAAGTTATCTCCTCTAGGCAGCCTTCCATGACTAGGCAGTCCCTAGTGCAGTGGTTCTCAACCTGTGGGTCGTGATCCCTTTGGCGGTCAAACGACCCTTTCACAGGGGTCGCCTAAGACCATCCTGCATATCAGATATTTACATTAGGATTCATAACAGTAGCAACATGACAGTTATGAAGTAGCAACGAAAATAATGTTATGGTTGGGTCACCACATGAGGAACGGTATTTAAAGGGCCAGAAGGTTGAGAACCACTGGCCTAGTGTAAGCCATCCCAGGTTCACAGCCAGTGGAGACTCCCTAGGCATCTCCAGGCAGAGCGGTGATTACACAAGTGAACGTGCGATGACCTGTGTCCTGCCAGGCTCCACAAGGCCAGGGACTGGGGCCGGGTCAGTGCTGCCTCCCAGCCTCCAGCCAGGGCGGGCCCCTGGTAAGCCCTCGAGGACTCTTACTAGAATAAATGAACAACACAGTGATCCACTAGTCAGCAGAGTTAGAATGAGAAGAGAGGCTTAGCCACAGCCAGCCTGCCATGGAAGAGCCTTGTTGTATAGAAAAGGAATCGGAGGCCCAGAGAGGGTAAGAGACCTGGCCCAGGCCACACAGCAAATCTGAGCCAGCCCAGCCCCTAGAGTTATTTTCAAAAATAGCACATGGTCTCTGAGGCTCTGACAGATGGGCCCAAGGTCCTAGACAGGAGGGACTGGGGAGCTGACCAGGAGGCCCCGGCTGGTCCACAGCAGCTACAGCCTCCAAACCAGCCCCCAAGGGCCCTCTGGGTCATTCAGCCAACACCTGGCAGCGTGGAGAGACCAGCCAGGCTCTGCCCGCTGGTGTGCCAGCCGCCCTTCCTGCCCTGGGCACTGGTCTCCACCACAGCCCCTGCCCGGCCTCACCTTCTGCCCCGGAAGTAGACGTACTCAAAGGGCAGCGTGCAGGGCAGCAGCAGGTAGGTCAGCGCCTTCCCGGGCGTCGAGCGGCGGAAGCGGGCCCAGGGCCTGGGGTCCCTCCTACTTGTTTTCTCCAGGGCTGCAAGAGAAGGGGAGCGTGCCCACCAGCTCCTCTCCACCCTGCAGCCCAGAGAGGGTGCCCACCCCCACCCGCAGAGCAAGAAACACAGACCAGGCCCCCGCTGGGAGCCAGCAGGGGCCAGGCCCTCAGCTGTTCATCATCGTCCGAGAAATGAGCAGGGTGTGCCCCTTTCTCAGAAGAGGAGACAGAGGTTCAGAGTGGAGAAGGGACTTGCCAAAGACCGTCGCTAGGAGGTGGCAGGGCCAGGATGGACCCCTCTCCCGCCCCTCTCTCTGGAAAGTCTGCGGCGGCCGCCCAAGAAGGAACAGGTGCCCACACCTCACCTCCCTCCATAAGAGTAGCCCAGCGGTTACTAACCACAGCAGGGGCTGCAGCTGGGGCCGGGACCACCCCTTCCCCAGCCCTCTGTCCCCTTAATTGACCGGGTGGGAGGGGCCTGCGTCCTGGCTGGGGCAGACCCAGAGCCCAGATCCCTGCGCCAGACCGTGGCACAGCCACCTGCCCCCAACCTGACTCTGGCCGGTGCTTTTAGGCACAGATACTGGGGGCGGGGGGGGGGGGCACATACAGCAAGTCCGAGACAGCCCCCAGATGACCTGCCGTGGCCCGGACCGGACCGTGCCTTTCCCAGCCTAGGCTGCCTCCCCGTAATGGCAGGACCCACCTCCTGGCAGGTAGGTGAGGACTAAGGGATGCCAGTGAGGGCCAGGCCGGATGACAATTCCCTTCCCGGAAGGGGGCGCCCCTCCCCAACCCCAGGTGCCGGCTGCAGTGCCCCATCGAAGAGGCGGCTCTCTGGTGCCCCCGTGTGGCCGCAGGGATGGGGCCAGGTTTGCAGAACGGCAATCAATCTTGTACCCAGGGCTCAGCACACATTGGAGCCCATTTCTGCTTGCCCTGTGTGGTCCCTCATCCCCCCATCCCCTCGCCCACCTCACTGACCCTGCTCTGGCCTCCCCACCACCATCTTTCCTCCCAGCCTCCTGCCTCTCAGCCTGTCCCCCCAAGCTAACAATAAAGGAGCCACGCAGAGTGATCCATTCGTCAGTCATGGACTGGGCCTGGGCCTACAGTTGGCTGGGCCGTAATCACTAGGGGCTGCCCCTCAGTAAACCCCTCAGCGGCCCCATCTCTCTCCTCTAGGCCACATACCCAACCTTCCCAGCCTCTCTAAGCTCATCTCTGCTTCCTTGCCCCTCAACCACTGTGATACAGCCACGGGGGCCTCCAGCTCTTCTCCCCTCCACACAACCCCAGGACATTTGCACATGCTGTTGTCTTCCCCTCTCTTCGCCTGGCTGGCTCCTTCCATGTTTCACTTAGATGCTAACCCACCCCCACCGGCACCATTCCAGGTGTCTGTGGGGCACCTGTGATTGATTGCAGCTGTGACATCTAGGTCACCACGCAGGATGCCTAGTTCTGCCATGTGCTGGCCATGTGACCTTGGGTAAGTCACTTAACCGCTTGGTGTTCTGGTTTCCACATTCGTACCATGGGGACGACTCAGTGCCGTCCTCAGAGGATTGTTGAGATGATGAAATGAGTCTAGATCCTCCGTATGTGCC